CCGTGCAGAAAGAGTGGGCAAGTCGGCCCATCACGCATTCTCAATCAGATTCACAACAAAATGCGGCATATCCCTGCGACATAATTAGCCTTCAGTGCGCATCCGAACACCGAAATTGTGGCATAAAAAATCACATGATCGATACGACGATGGTGATCCTACTAACCATGGCTGAATGAGGCAAGTTCCTCAAACAGATATTATTTGAAAGCCTTCCCAGGCTCCTCTATCCATTGTGGATTGCTTGGGTCTGATAAATTGTTATATTGAGTAGCAAAGTACAAGAGATTCGGAACGAAAACAAGTACGATAACAAACATGGGGGTTTTACAAGATGTGTGGGTTAATCTATCTAAACATACGAATGACAGAGATTCTCTGGTCCAATTAACGGTGACGCCAGGACCTATTTTGAACTGTACCGTAAACTGTAAGTCCTCATCCACCACTCTCCAGCCATCGCGTCTACTTCAGTACTTAGAGAGGGGGAAACTGAGAGACAAGACGGATGAAGCATAGACGATGGCTGGAGAGTGCTCATCGACGTATCAGTAGACGTGTATCAGTACCATCCTGTACTGGACATGTACGTACATGTAAATGTATGACTTCATAGAAGGGGGATAATGTATCAATGACAATTGCTTGAAACCTCCTTAGTACACGGTCAAGCATAGCAGTTCGACGGCTTCGGCTGTCGACCAAGTTGGTACTAGTTTGACATTTCCATTTCAAATCAGCAACATGCAATACAAGATAGCTTGTGCTACAAGTACCAGTAATCATTTACCCTCAACGGTACAATCAAGCTTCATTGGTTCAACCAATTGCATGCATGTCACGGTTGCCAGTTGCAATACTACTGTAAATTCAAAATGTGAAAGTGCTGGCACGACTGAATCATAGCAATAAATGAATCGTGTGAAGTATCCACGTGCACCAATGTACTTTCTACGAGCTTCACAACCGCGCACGTACGATAGACGAGCTACAGTACACGTACAGTAGTACCGGTATGAGTATGATGAGAAATTGCCTAACTTTCGTTCGGTGAGAGTGGACAATGCACACGTAGTTTGAGAAATCCGTCGCGGACAATACTTCATTTTTGTGCTCTGATCAACCTGCAGTAGTGATTTTACAACATGCCTCCAGCAGCAGCTATAGTTGATTGCGAATCCGTTGAATGTATTCATGATGTTGGAGGCATAGAAGTTGAGCATATAGCTCTTCCTGGAGGACGATCTAGACATACAAAGATAACTGCTTCACCAAGAGATTTTATCATCGAAGAAGAAAGAAGGCGATTCGCCTACCTTCAGTCAATGACAGTGGGATTAACCGGAATGGCTTACAGCTTTGACTCTGTGGATGAGATTGACGAGGATTCGAATGAAGCGAAATTAATCAAGAGTATTGCCCAGCGTGCAATCGTTGCTGCTGACGATGCGCCGATGCCACATGAAACAGAGGCTCGATACTTGGAGGTTCTGGATAGGCACATTGAGAAGACAGAGCCAGATTTGTCGTCTTTTGCAGCCTTAGAAGGTGATATTGATGATGTACATCCACACAAAAACAGAGCAAGAGTAGATGAAATAATGGAGCACCTGATTGACTCCTCTTGTTGTCAATGCAGTACCTCCGGCCCAGTACACAGACCACTACGGTCTGCATTGAAATCTCCGAAATGGTCTGATCCTGGAATGTATCACGCATCAGCAACGGATAATAGATCAAAATTGTATTCGGTGACGTTCCAAAATGTTGACATTCAGGAGTTCTCCATGACTTTGGGCGATCACCCGGCAGCTTGTTCTGGTCCTCCAGTCAGATTAGACTGGGATGTGAGTCTAAAGTTTTATGAGATCAATCTTGAAGAATATGAAAACCTGCGGCTACCAAGACGCAACAGGAAAGAACTGAAATTGAGCCTCCAACAAAGACATAATATTCTGGTCAAAGAGCGAGGGTTCTCTTTTGAAGAAGTAAAGGGGGCCTGGCATGACGCTTTGGAAATAAGAAGACAACGCAAAGAAACCTTAGAGCGCGGCTTGGCGCTCATGAAATGGGATGAAGTTTGGGAGAGCACCTGCCGGAAGTTCACTCGATTAGTGGACTATTAGCTGAAGCACTACGTACATAATTCGCGACTACTAGAAACCCACAGGGCTAGCATCACAATGAAACGTGGCCGTAAAATTGAATTCGTTCTACTTTCTTTTGGGTTGACACTCGGAATCTAGAACTTTGCGCACAAGAATTTCGTCCTGAGGATGATCGCGGTCGCCCTCCTCGAATGTATAGCTCGATGCAACTGCCAATTCTGTACCATCCCAATTGAAGGCTACGGAAGAAATGGAGGTTGGAAAGGAAGATATTGTCGTCAGTTTCTTTTTGTTCATTCCATCCCATATGAACAAGGCCCCATCACAACCACCCGTGACAAAAGACGACCTGAAACGTGGATGAAACGTAATGCAATTCACTGGATACACTATCGTTCAAAATTATGGCAACCAACAGGTGAGAGCTACACGCAAAATGAAACCTTACAGTCATTCCTTTTGAATACGCACCAGTATCATTCACGCGATGGCATTTGAAGGCATATCGCTTCATAGGTGCAGCTATTCCGAATTCATCCAGAAACTCAATCCCAACACGCCCCTCGACGCTGCCGAGGGCTATCCCGATGCCTTCAGGAAAAAATTTGACGCACCGCGTTTGAAACTTCAATGAGGACTCCCGATCTAGTACCAAGTCACTTTTTCCACCTCGAATGTCGAAAAAACAGTTCCTCCGACCAGATGTTGCCACAACAACTCGTTGATGAGATTGGTCTACGTCCATCGCAAATGCTTTTCCCGGAAGGTCAGTTTCGAACACAGATGAGGCTGATCGGATATCCCACAATACCATTTTTTTGGACCAGCTCGCTGATACCAACAAGGACTCATTTTCACCACCCATTGATTGAAGACATGAACACGCTGCACCAGATTCCACATGACGCCCAACTAGACGAGATGTTGTGGACGCAATGTCAAGAAGTCGAATTGACCCATCGAGACCCCCCGTCGCTATAGCGCAAGTTGATTCTGGAGTGGCCAAACTTAGTAATGGTCCCGAGTCCATTTGATGGACCATTACAGCTGGGTTATCGGCCGCTGTATCATGGAGCCTCACTGAACCATCCCAGCATGTCGACGCCAATAATGAAGATTTTTCTTTGGGTAGGTAAGATAGTGAGGATATTCCATCCGCAACTTTGGCGAGAGATTTGGAATCCGCTGTTTGGGCCATGTTCTTGCAGTAAACTGTCTTTCAAGTTTATTTTATGTCTAATTTGAGCAAGGATAAAGGACTGATTTTGAATTCAGGTTGACGGAAGGACTGATTGATTTCAATTTCTCAAACCTGATTGATTAAAAAACTATAAACCACCCGCATACCTGGTACCCAAGTGCTGCTTTCTGCCAAGACATTCAAAACAATGTCATCGCTGAACGCCCTATCGCGTCCGACGTTCCGAAGAAGAGCGATGGTTACAATCATACAAGTGATACTCTTGCTTAGCATTTTCCAACTGTCACACGGGTTTTCCTTGCATTGGCAAAAGCAGATTCTAACATCATTCATCAACGAACGGGAGTGCAATCGGCTCTACCGATGGCGGCTGCCTGCATTACGTTCCAAAATCAGTCAAGGTAATACATATGTTGATCAGGCTCGTTGGTTTCCCGAAGAATTGCTTGAAGCGTCTGAGCTGGAGTCTGATGCAACACATTCAATTAAAGCGGATCTCGAATATCGATCACTGCACCTCATTGTTAGGATACTTTCTGAATTCAAAAACTCCAAATTTTCTGGAGAGGCTGATCAGACGAGAGATTCGAACATTGCAAAGGGAAGATTCAGAGACCTTTGCTCCAGCACACATAGTGAGCTTATACTTGAACAGATGTTTGCAAGAATTGACAAAGACACCGAAAGTCGAATCGTGCTTGGAGCCATCATGTCGTTACAGTCTCTGTTCGTCCTTGGTATGCAGTATGGAGCAAAAGCAAATTCTATTCCACCTGTGGGGGGGAGTGTATCCAATTCGATGAATTCCGAAATTAATGGGGTAATTGTTAAGTGGGATGCATCCTGTACTAAAAAGCTGAAGTCCGAGGGTAACCGAATTCCAGCAATGAATCTTTTATCAGAGATGAAGAGAAAGCGCAGTCCACAAGGGGCATATGATCTCTTGGTCAGCCTTGGAATCTGGCAAGCTGACGAAGATTTGGGGTTGCTAAGAAGTGGTTTTCAGCTCCGATTCGACGACTCAGAAATTCAATCTGCCAAGGAGGTAATGCCCTTAATTCAACAATTTTCCCTTCTTGGATTGCGTCCAACGTGTTTCTTCTTTTGATACAGGCCTGTTCTAATATGCACGATGTTGATGAGCTTTTGAACATTCGCGAAGATCTTTCCTTTCAGAAGGTGTATACAATTGATAGCGCTTCAACCACTGAAATAGACGATGGTCTTTCAGTAGAAAAATTTACCAAGGATGATGGTTCAAATGGAAAGCGCTTTTGGATCCACATTGCAGATGGGGAGCGGTGGGCACCACCCGGTTCTCGAGTTTTTGACATAGCAAAACAACGTGCCACTTCGTTGTACTTGCCACAAGGATCCATTCCGATGATTCCAGAAATGTGAGTAGGTCGATGATTTTGATTGTGTCTCGATCACACCTATGCTGAAGAGATCTTTACAATCCTAGACTTTGTACCGAAAAGATGTCACTGAATGCAAATGCTGAGAAATGTTCACTGTCTTTGGGCGTAGAGCTAGCACCTGATGGCTCGGTCATCGATTCAAGTATTAGAATGACAGCGTCGACCATCAAAGTTTCCTATCGTTTAACATACGACGATGTTGATGAAATGCTGGAAGATGGTATTGCCTACAACGAGGAATGGGAGCTGGGGGAATTGTTCGCAGCAGCAAAGACCCGAAGAGACTATAGGATAAGAAATGGTTCTGCAGAAGCTTTCGTTCCAACACAAATCCCGCAATATAGCATCTCTACTTATACGGATGATGTCTCTCACGACAACGTGGGAATTGCTTTGAATATCCAAGTTTCACACAATGGAGGAAAGAACCAATCTATGGTAGATTGCCATGACAAAAGTGCGACTATGACATATGCCACACCAGTTTCAGCTGCATCTATGTTGGTCACAGGTACGTTGTCATTCGTCTAGCATTGCTACATTTGATCTCCAAGTTATGCTCACAACTTTTGCTCAACATTCATTCACGAAGAAATGATGATCCTTGCTGGAGAGGCAGTAGGGCGTTGGAAAATGTGGGAGAGGAAGCAAAATTCTCATGGTTGCTCTCAGGATCATTTGAGACACTTGCTTCGTATACCATTCAGGACGCAGCCAAGTCCAGGTTGGTTTCATTGTTCTTCACTGTAGCACCAACTATCGATCTTTGTCGAATCACTAATCCAATTTCCATACGCTTTTATAGACTACAGATCTCGAATGCGAGAAAAATCGATAATGGAGGACCTGCTCAATAATGACACTGGGGGTGGTCTTTGTCATGCTTGGTACGCTCGAAGATTTTTCTCCCCTGCAGAGATAAGGGAAGTGCCATCGCCGCATTCTGGCTTAGGAATCGAGTGCTACACCCAATGGTCAAGTCCCATTCGAAGATTCGGAGACTTACAAGTCCATGCTACCATCAAGAGATACCTTCGGAGAAAACGGATGATGGAAATGAAACTGAACGGATCAACTATTCCTTCCAACATCACCTTCAACGATATTGGGTGTGACCCCGAGCTTTTCGCCACAGAGGCGACGCTACCCCTCCTGAACATGACGGACACAGACATCGATTTCACACATGGCCTTGCTTCCTTGAAAGCTGCCCGAGTTGTCCAACGATCGTCTCAAACTTATTGGATGCTCGAATTCATTAGACGGATTGATCGCAGCAAAACTTTTGAAGCCGTGATTCTTGGGTGTAGAAACCCGTCGCGAAAGCAGTATATGATATACATCCATGAACTAGGATTGGAGTGGCAATACACCAGCCCTGTCGACAATCTAACTTCCGGAACAAGGATGGTTGTTAAAGCAACAAACATCCTGCCTCGTAATGGTCAAATGACACTTGTCCGTGTTCATTTCTAGTTCCAAGTGGATATTGGGCACGGCCACTTTTGACTCACGTCACGTCGTTGGTGTATAGAGGTGGATTTATCAATCGCTCTACTGACCCAAAGCAGCCAAATCCATGGACCCAATTTGCACTCCAGCATAATATCCACTCACTCTGCAATGAATTCCAGGGGTCTACTATTAATTCCGCCTTTTTTCAGCCTCGTGGCCCTTGGTCTAGTAGATTGTGCACATTCAAGTGTTTGTCTTGCAATCTGATTCCGTCCTTCTCGATATGCCTCGTCATCATGCTCATCTTCCCCAATACTCGCGAAGCTGTCCTCATCACTGAGAGAACTAGAGCCGTCCGGATCAGAGTTAGAGTCATCATTCGTTAGCCTGCTCCTTTGAGTTTTTGAGCTGTGGACTGAGTCAAGAGACATGAAGTCGTCCTGCTCCTTTTTCCGTTGTTTCGCGGCCGCTGCCTGAAATGCAGGGGGCAGAGAAGGATCCAAACTACTGTTTCCGCGAAGTGGAGTTCTCGAAACAGCCCTAGGTTTATAAACTGGACGGCTCTCGTTCTTCATCCTTTCCCGAAGCTTCCATGCAGGTATCGGTTGACGCTCATCTAAATCGTCTCTCTTTCCTTTACGCAAGGGGGATTTTAATTTGTTTGCAAACTGAGAGCTGGATGCAAGCGCGTCAGAGGCTTCAGACTCCGCCATTGGCCCGATTTTGAAATTGCTCAGCCCCTCGAAGAATGCACTTGCGCAAGTTCAAAGTGAACGTTCATGTTGATTGTATTAATAAATGTCCGACCGTCAACACGCGCAGACAGAGAGAGTGACCAAATTCCAAAATCATCCAAATCCATCAAATTGGAAGTAACTACGAGACAGGAAAAATGGATCTCAAGACTCCCCAAGAAATAAGCATAGAAGAATTCAAAGACCTGGAAGTTGAGGTCGCGAAACTTACAACCAGCGATGCAGAGAGAGAATGGCTCGAGAGCTGTCGTTATGGCGAGGTCGACGTTCTACGGGCTCTTCTCGCTCGATTTCCTGCTATTATAAGTCATAGTGATACCAAGAGCGGAAACAGTGGGTTGCACATGGCTTCCGCGAATGGACACCTTCCTGTCGTCGAATTTCTTGTCTATCACAAACACTCGTTCACAAAGAATGCTTCTGGAAATACTCCACTGCACTGGGCTGCCTCCAACGGCCAAGCAAGCATAGTGAGCTTCTTCACTAGCCAAAAATGTTTAGGAGATATTGATGTGCTAGAGAAAAACCGATTTGGGAGGTCAGCACTGACAGAAGGTTTCTCTAGTCAGAAGGAGGGCGTGGTTGAGGCATTGTTGGAGCACAATTCTGCCACTGAAGAAAAACTGCTGTCGGTAGATTCGAAGTCAAAATCGCATGTAGTTCACGAGCTCTTTGATAAAGAGCGCCCTCTTTTGATAAGAGAACTCGCAATGATAAATGCCGATAATCCATTTGCGGATGCGGACAATCCGGACCAGGATACAACTGGTTTATCGATATGGTCGGCATCACTTGTTCTTGCAAGATGGCTCAAATCAAAATCTTGGAGCAAATCCCGAGTAGTTGAACTAGGAGCAGGCTGTGGTGTTCCAGGACTGATGGTTGCCTCCTCGGAGATGGCTCCACAGAAAGTCTATGTTTCAGACTTGAATCCTCTAACTGTCGAAAACATTGGCCACAACATTAAACTGAATGGACTGAAGGATACAGAAGCATTACGGATGGATTGGTGTGACAAGGATACATGGCCCAAAGAATCTGTTGATGTAGTTGTTGGGTCAGACTTAGTATATCAAAAGTCATTGGTCCCGCTACTGTCTTCAGTGGTTCTAGAGTTGCTCGGTTCCGGAGGAGTTTTCTACTATGTCGCTCCTGACTCTGGACGCGACGGTTTGGAAACCTTCATCGACCAAATGAAAAGGAGGTGTCCCGGCTGGGTACAGATAGATGCGCCAGAAGAATACTATACAAATCCTCTCAGTAGCGGGGATGACGAAGATTTTTTTTTGCATTTCAACGAGCTTTCAACTCTCAAGTTTATTCTTTACGAATTTCCGGTTCCACCTGCTTGAAGGTATCCTCAGAAATTCAGTGTTGATATAGGGTAACAGCGAGTACGCTTCGAAATTTCAAAGTTGGTCCCAACTGTTTCATTTTCGGACGAGGAAGCGTAGACACACAACTGTCCAAGTGCAGAAGGAAGCAAGCTGTTCGATTCTTGCTTGTCTGTAGGGCAAAGAAGAGGGATACGTTCAAACGCAGCACTAATCTAATTTGCTACATTATATTGTGATATACTTCCTCTCGCATGTAACGAGCCGTTTTCCCTCCTCTACCTAACTCGCCGGTGCCAGATTCTCGTCGAGGATTGGTAGTTTGGCAACGTTTTACTTGAACCGAAGTTGAATTACTTGAATAAGTTTTTTTCTTTTAAATTGAAATTTTAGCATGGCTATCAATATTGCAGCACAGGAAACAATTGGTCCGAGAAGGCACGAACAGACTCAAAACAGAGCTCTGAGAAAACGCAAGTTTTAGCAAGACGGACAGAACCAGACCAGTTCTCGTTTTGTGTTTCAATCAGACTTACCGAGCCATGTCGAAGTTGGTGTTGTCTGCCTTTTGCTGCTTTCCAGCCTCCTTCCAATCCTTTTCCATCTTGTGTTGTTCCTTTCTGACTTGGCCCTCCACCGAATCTGTAATAGTGACATCCTTCAAATTAGCTTTTGTTTGTCGTTCGGTTTCCTTTTCTGCTTTGCCTCGGGCCGCCAATGCCTTGAGTTCGTTGGTCTCCACGGTTTCACTAACCACGACTTTTTGATTGTCCATGATGGTTTGTCGTTCGGTTTCCTTTTCCGCTTTACCTCGTAAAGCCAATGCCTTCAGTTCGTTGGTCGCAACAGTTTCAGTAACCACAATATTTTGGTTACTCTTAATGGTGTTTCGCTGAGTTTCCTGCCGAGCCTTTTCACGCTCAAAGTCTGCTGTTCTAGATGCTTGTTCAACACCAAATCCAGCAGCTGCCATGTTCACCTTATACAACTGTGCCTTTGCTTCACGCTCTCTTTCTTTTCTCTTCTTTTCCTCGTTTTTCTGTCTCATTGCAAAGTCGAAAGGAGACACTCCTTGGAAACCGCTATCATCCCCCATTGTGCGCAGGTTGCAAGGAATGGGTTGAATAAAACCGCGCCTGTAGACAGTAACGTTGAAAATAGAACACCGATCACCGAACCCACCTGACCATGCGTTGAAAAAAGTTGAAGTCGTTCGAGTCAGTCAGTCAGACACGCCACACTTGATCGGCAAGACGGGAGACGTATGGGCGTTTCTAGCTCTTCCTTAGTCTCAATTTCCGTCGTGTCGATTGCGGCGCGCGATTGCTCATCCTTCTCAATCGCTTTGGATTTCGCAGACTCCAATTGGGCCTAAAAGAGTTTCAATGATGTTTTTGGGCTGACAGTTGTTACTAGCTGTTGGCCCCCAATCCCCCAGCGCAAGC